GAAAACCCGAGAAGTAACCTGTCTTTGGCTCGGTTGCTAGGAAACGGTAGCATCTGGTGACGCCGCTCGTTTGTGCTAGGGAAGGCGTCGCAGGTGGGATGCAGCTAGGCAGTTTGTAGGGGAGACGTCCACTACAAGCCTATCAAAGAGAAATTAGACAAACATAGAGAAACTTGACAACAGGCCACAAACAGTAAGCTACAGTATCCCTAAACGAAAGGATTTCTGCATACACGTTGGTGAAGGATCGCTTTGGCTTTTTAAGCAATCTGGAAACTATGTCAGCCGATGCCATTCAATCTGCCTCAAAAATTCTTCTGCAAACTTATGGAAAAGATATTGATGAAAACATCTCCAATGTAATGATTCAATTCTCGTCTCTAAAAAGTAAAAAGTAAAAGTAAAGTAAAGTTTTATGCAAAAGCTGCGGATGAGCCCAATGAGTCGTTTTATTACAGATTTATAAAGGAAAACGATGGTTTACAATCAGCATTTCCAAATGTAGAAACGGTTTTGAGGATATATCTGGTGTTAATGGTCTCCAATTCTACCAGGGAGCGTTCCTTCTCAAAAATGAAACTCATCAAAAACAGGTTACCGTGTAGTGGATTCCTCCCTTACAAACGCCGTGTGTCGCTGACTGGCCGACCCCCCGCGAATCTCTCAGCGTATCCCCCGTGGTCAAGATCAGGTAACCAGCGCCCCAGAACAAAGCGGAGGTCTACAATCAAGCCACGCCTACCCCCGCTATATAAGACCACACCTTGGCCGTGACCTGCCCTTCTTCTAGCTACAGCCGCAGCAAGCAACACCTCCTCTGAGCACCCTCACCATCCAGCTCTCCCTACTCACGCTTGTGACCACGCTGCCTCCTCCCAGCACCAGCCACCAAGCTGCATTGTACATCCAATATAATATGTATACAGAGAGCACATTGTAAGTTTCCTTTCTCCATCCCATCCTGAGTGTGAACCAAACATCACTTACCCCACAAATGGTGACCCCCGGAGATTCGCACTCACACAGGATGGAGGAGAAACATCTCATGTAAACCTACAATTGGTGATCCCTGGAGCCGTGAACACCACACTCCTTTCTGCTGCCTTACTCCTGGAGCTGAGAAGATCGTCCTGCCTGCTGCCAGACTAATCCAACCGCCTTACCCGCACCACGTGCTACCCCACTCCTCCACGACGACACCAACCGCACCACGTGCTACCCCACTACGACACCATCTCACGACCGTGTGACACACTTCCGCAAGAATGGACGGACGGATCTCTCTACCGATTTTCAACCACAACGTCGAGAACTGGTTAGATCATGTGCAAGCAATCCTCATCGTCTCACAAGCTACTGACGAGCAAAAGTACGGCGCCCTGCTCTCTTCCTTGCCCACGGAAGTCGCCACGCATGTATCACGGACTATTTCCAACCCTCCAGAGAACAACAAACTCGCCACCCTGCGGGACGCCTTAAAAACGCATTGCCAACGGACCCGCCCCAGTCTCCTGCAGAACCTATCTTCTATCTCCCTTGGAAATTCAACTCCTGGACATCTCTGGGAGGAGATGTGTAGGCTGAACTCCCGGCATGCAGACAGACTTCCCGGCGCCAGCCAGCTTCACGCACCAAAGATCCCTACACAAGTACGTATCATCCTGTCCGCAGTAGATTACTCGACGACACCTGAACTCTACGCAACCGCGGCAGACAGAATATTCAACGAGTGCTTTGCTGCTTGCCTGGCTGCCGCGGACAACCCAACGACCATACCACTACCTACCTCCGAACTTGTAAGCCGGGTCAACACCCCTCAGCCGAGCAATACCTCACAAGACATCAGGGACCTGTTACAAACTTTGAACCGCAGGATGGACACCATTGAACAGTTCTGCCCCTCCATGCCTGCTGCTGGACCTGGTCCTAACTCACACTCCACGTCCTACCGACCCCAACACACCCGTCCTGCCTCAGACGCTGCCCCCAGCCCCCAGCACAGTGTATCTACCCCCTGTTGGTACCATCAATGCTTTGGTGCTAATGCTAGATGCTGTGAGGCCCCCCTGCAACCACACGGGGAAGCGACATCGACGGAGACGGGTAGGCGCCATAACCTCCGCCACTATCAAGCAGCACTTCACACGCCTTACTTCTGACCTTGACCACTCACTCCTGCAGCCCGTCACGACCTACTACAAACACTACCACAGGCGGTTTCTGCATTCAAGGCTACTGCCCCACGCCAGCCTTCCCACCGCCCTGAACACATTCATCCCACATCTCCTCCGCCAGTCTTCCCACAATTACCCCTTGCAGCACCACCTCGCCCACAACATTTCTGGGCACCCTCTTTTCTTCCTCAGGTACCCACTACGCCTGTCTTGCACCCTCCTGCTGTCATGGACCCTCCTCCCGACGTGGCCCCTGCTCTTGACGCAGACCCAGACACCACACCCGGCGCCACTGAGGACTGCATACCCGCTGCACCCGCTGCGAGAGAAGCACCACATTCCTCGCCTGTAAAACCTTCTCTTATCCACAAACCTACTCCTCCCTCTACTTCTCCCACAGATCTCGTGTCTCTAGACAGAGTCGTCTCCCGTAGCGGCCGGCTCATCCACACCCCCACCCGTTATGTCTCACATGTGGGATACAACCCTGCCGACAAGGAGTCTCCTGCACCGCCCGGAGGGGAGGGGGAGTATTATAGTGGATTCCTCCCCTACAAACGCCGTGTGTCGCTGACTGGCCGACCCCTGCGAATCTCTCAGCGTATCCCTCGTGGTCAAGATCAGGTAACCAGCACCCCTGAACAAAGCGGAGGTCTACAATCAAGCCACGCCTACCCCCGCTATATAAGACCACACCTGGCCGTGACCTGCCCCTTCTAACTACAGCCCAGCAAGCAACACCTCCTCTGAGCACCCTCACCAACCAGCTCTCCCTACTCACGCTTGTAACCACGCTGCCTCCTCCCAGCACCAGCCACCAAGCTGCATTGTACATCCAATATAATATGTATACAGAGAGCACATTGTGAGTTTCCTTTCTCCATCCCATCCTGAGTGTGAACCAAATAACCCGTACCCCATGACAGACCACGATGCGTCAGGAGAGACTCAACAATCTGATGCTATTAAGCACTGAGTCAGACATTTCAAAAGAACTTCCATTTGACAATGTGATAGGTTTATTTGCTAGAAAAAAAATCACGAAAAGTGCATTTGTCAATGAATGTATACGCTTTCTTTGAATGGAATAAATAATTTGTAAATGTGTCATTATTACTAGATTTTATTGTTTCTATTGACCTTGGATATTACCTATATTTTTTTTCAGTTGTCAGCAGGGCCCCTCCCCCCTCACTGCTAGGAGTCGCCCAGGGCCCCCCAACCCCTTAATCCGGTTCTGCCCACAAGGGGTCACAGCTCAAGGTTGAAAAAGACGAAAGTCCAGAAAACTGTGAGGGCAAATTTTTCGGAGTGAGAATTGTGAACACTTGGAATAACCTACCAGAGTGTTGTAACAACACCGAGTATGACCTCTTTTAAAACCAGACTTGACCAACACAGGAGCAGGTTTGTAGTGAGGAATCCACTACAGGTTCAGATAGGGTTGCCATACGTCCGTATTTTCCCGGATATGTCCTCCATTTAAGTCTCGAAATCTTCATCCGGAAGGAATTTTTAAAATTCTTCAAAAGTCCGGAATTTCAGCATCTATCGTTTTCTCCACGGAAAAAAAACATGAAACTGTAATGACGGGAGAGAGACGAGAGAGGGGAGGTGGAAACCGTAGAGATCTCGTTCAGTTTTCGTCAGCTGATAAGTCACTTGTACGCCTGTACGGTGTTGTCAACTTAGCTGTTAAATATTTGATTGATAAGGGGGTAGAAGTTGATGAAGTTTTTTGACCAAGTTAGTAACCTGAAGCAGTTTGTGGAAAATTACAAGAGTGATGAAGAATTTAGTAATCTGCCAACACATAAAAAGTGGACCAGATACTTTGAAAAATCAAAGAACATTGAATGCCACTCAGAATTGCTAAGAATTGCACAATTCTTCTTTGCTTTATCATCTCACAATGCAAATGTAGAAAGAGTTTTTTCACTGATGCAAAGTCAATGGAAAAAGGAAAGGAACAAATTGAGTGTTGAAACAATGAAAGGCATTCTGACTGGACAGTACAACTTCCGAGAAACATCTTGCAGTGACTTCTATACCTTTCTAAAGACCAATCAGCCAATACTGAAAAAGATCCGATCTACAGAAAAGTATGCATGGGCACATCAAGTCACACACACAGTGGGGGAAGAAGACTGCAGCTAAGGGAATGAAGATATTCAGCCTTAAGCAAAGGTAATTTTTTTTTTTTTTTAAGATTTCTATACCACGTGTGTTGTACATTAGCCTGTGTGTGCCGGGCGGGGGATGTCTTCGGGAGCGTCCTCTTGTTTTAATGTTCAGATATGGCAACCCTAGGTTCAGATACATTCAGAAGCCAGTGCATGCTCATTATCAGTACTTGCCAGTAACAGAGACGTGACCGACCTAGCGGCTAACGACTCAACGAGCTGATCAGTGGGGAAGATGATAAAAGTAAACCGTACTTGTCCTAGCATACATTGTTTGCTTTATTTACCTCTTTACACATAGTATTTACAATTAAATATTCAGGTAAAGATCAAGCTAATAATAAAGTAGTTGTGAAAGATTCATAGTTGCATATTAATGCTACAGAACACAGTATAATATGTCTTGTTATATACCATGATAAAAGACTCATTAATCAGTTCATATCCTCAGAAACACATGAAAACGAGAATATATATAAGTCTTCACAAATTAAATAAAACCCAGGTATTATATCAATACTGAACACATTAATTTAGAGCTAATACTTAATGTACAAAATCTTAATATCAAATAATTTAGAGGTATATAAATAGTGGAGAATGAGTTATTAATAAATACTTGGGGTACTTGATAGTATTGTTGGAACAGTTTATGTTGTGGTCATGGCGGGCTGTGAGCCACACCGTAAAGCCTCACAGTGATGTAGATTAACAGTTTTCGCATGACGACATTAATAATTAAGCGGTAAGATGCCTTCAGTTTTAACAAACCACTATTAGTGCTTCTTGCATGTTGTTATTAGAAAGATACATATTAAGGTAACGGTAGGTCATTAGGTTAAGGTGTATTCAAGGCTCACGGTCCAAGTAGTCATAAGAACATAAGAAACTGCAGCGGGTCTATTGGCCCATACTGGACAGTCCCGTTTACACCCAACCCCTATTGCTCATATATCCATCCAACCTATGTTTGAAGCTGTCCAGCATATTCGAGTTAATGATGTTTGGTAACTTGTTCCACTCGTCCACTACTCTATTTCCAAACCAATGGTCCGACTAATTCCCCAAATGTACCCAAATGTAGCCGCAATGAAGGCAACTAATGGTCCTAGATGAATAAATCGGACTGCCAATCACTTCTCGACTAGTATTTGGTGTCACAAAGTCACAAAAAATTGGTAAACTTTATTTAATCTGAGTTAATAGATCGAGTGCATGTACCTAACCTAATCTAACCTAACCTAACCTAACCCAACACAACTCAGATTAAATTAAGTTTACCAATTTTTTTTACTATGACACCAAATAATAATCGAGAAGTGATTCACAGCCCGAATTACGCTTGTACGACCATCATTTGACTTCATTGCGGCTACATTTGGCTACATTTGGGTAATTCCTCACTCCGTCGGTACATGCACGCGATCTATTAACTCAGATTAAAGTAAGTTTTCCAATTTTTTGTGACTTTTTGACACCAAATACTAGTCAAGAAGTGATTAGCAGTCCGATTTATTCATGTAGGACCATTATTTGACTTCATTCCGGCTATATTTGTCTACATTTGGGTACATTTGGGTAATTAGTCGGACCGCCAAACCAATGTTTACTTATTTTGCGTCTAAATCTAAATTTGTCTAATGTAAAACCATTATTACGAGGTCGCTCCTGGTTGGATAGTTTGAGTACCTTTGTAATGCCCCGTTTGTTAAGCTCTGACTTCCATTTATACACCTCTATCATATCGCCCCTCACTCTACGTCATTATTTACCTTTACCTATTGGTCACCCACTAGAGGTGGGCATGCCGAGGGAAGGAGTCCAGTGACCAGTGTAGGATCCCTCCACAGTTCTTGATAATTCTGTCAGGGGCTATTTTGAAGCCCAGTCCTGTTCTTGATTCTACAGCTTAGGCTGGTAGACGTTCCATAGGTCATCTCGTACCCAACTCACGAGATAAGTCGTACCCAAGATTACTTACACCCAATTCAAGAGATAATCCTTACCTATTAGGGTAAATTTGCATTGTCACACCTTTCTCTGTTAGAAAGTAAAAAATATATTTATGTGTGTTTAGACCAAATATGACCTTCATTTCTGGGGGAAATTAGCCTTTTCTTTTTTGAATTTTTTTCGTTGGACTTTTTCCGAGAAAAAATCATGGCAAAATACACCAAAAAACACTATAAAAACCAAAACCTAACCTAATCTAACCTAACTGACTCTCACCATATGATGGAATCACCTATTTCTTACCTTATTGGCCTTGTTCTTGTTCGTCGTTGCATTCTGGGATTCTTACACAACGCCACATATATTGGTCTTTGCGTTATTTACGTTCAGTCTTGCTCTTAGTACACTTTACTGAGGTTGGAAGAACACCATGCGATCGAAAAAAATGCTACAGTTTCTTCGTCTTTTTCCTAAAAACTTGCAATCAGCTCCATATAATTGAAGTGACATCCATCGCAGACTGCCATAGGCGGAACTGAAGTTACTGAACTTGAATTTCGAAGTATGAGAGACCCAAAATAAAACTAGAATTTGATTGGGCCAAATATACCGCGAATTAAACCCAAAATCATTTACCTGCTGATTTTTCATAGAAAACGAATATAAAAATGCAGCAATTTCATTGTGTTTTATAGTTGACACTGTCGTAGTAATGGCAAATGTGTTAAAAAGAATATTTAAAAGTTCAAGTTAACCTAACCTAAACTGTAAAAAACTGAAGGGTCAGATTGTTTTTCCCCCGACATTCATAAATAATGTCCATATACAGCTCCTTCCCGATTTACGACAGGGTTAGGGACCCAAATCCAGGTCGTAAGTCGAATTGGTCATAAGTCGAAAATGCTTAAATAATACATAGAAAATCTAAAATGGGTCTCTTTTTCTTCTCAGCACCACAAAACTCTCACTTTTAAGCTTGCCAGCCATTTTAAAGGAAATTACAAGCAAAAATGTTGTCAGTACACAGCGCAATCACTGTATGTTGGGACTCGAAAATACGTAATTTGACAATTTTGGTACGACTGAGGCAGGTCGTAAGTCGGGGAGGAACTGTACAGAGCTTGCGCGGCATGTGATTGGCTGAGTACTACTACGTAACCGCTGAAAAAGACAAAATGTAATTCTCACCAAGCAAAGTACAGTAGTGCGCACCTATTCGTCTAAATATTTACCAAATGATGCAATTTCCACAAAAATGATTATTATATCAGAACTCACTGATGAAAATATAGTAAGAATATAAACATTAAAAGAAATACTGTAACTCATTGACTGAAGTCCTCCATATTAGCACTAACTGCTTCCACAGATGTTCTCTGGATGATAATACGCAGTGGATATTTTGCCGTGACCGGTTAAGTTCCGACTAATGCTATTTTACCGTGAGTGCATTCTGATTGGCTAATTATCCTTTACCGGCAAGCAAAACGGCAAAATATCCACTTCGTTCATTTTTTATGGAGATGGCACTCGTGGCAAAATATTCACTGCCGTGATAATAAGTAATACTGTATAAACGGTATGACAACTTTTCAATTTATTTAGTGGATATTTTGCCGTGATTGGCCAAATTTCTACTAACGCTATTTTACTGTGAGTGCACTCTTGATTGGCTAATCAAATCAGAGTGACAATGCGCAGTACCTATTAGAACCTTGCCTAACATAACTTGACCTCACCTAACTTCCTAGCCTGTGCATTGTTGTTTCTATTTTACTACTATCATCCAAACAACATCTCCATAAAAAATGAACGCAGTGGATATTTTGCCGTTTTGTTTGCTAGTACAGGTTGTACCTCTCTAGTCCGGCAACCTCGGGACCTGACCGGTGCCTGACCATGGAAATTCACCCTTTTCCTGGATAGATAGTGACTTGTGCTTATGCCTGGAAGCACTAGCACCACTTTCTCTGCATCATGGTCTCTTTGAAGATTTATTGAAGGGTTAAATGTCGTATAGTAGCTTCTCAAATTTCGCGAGTTTTTAATTCTTAACGTATTTTATTGGAACACACAAAAAATAAATAAATAAAAATTTTGACGGCAGAAACTTGAATTTCGACGGGTTTGAACGGCCCGCCAACATGCAGACGACGTGCATAATCGTGTAAACAGCGTCATTTCTCTTATGTACAAAAGATTCATTATTGTTTATTACTGAATGTCTTTTTTAATGAATTAATGTTTATGTGTGCAAAATGAGCAATACAATTCATTAATAATACGTAGAATATTAAAACACACGAGGATATGACACAGCACTGTTTATGTTGATTACAAAACCAGTGACTGACTGGTTCTACATATAAAACTGAAGAAAATAAGACCTTGGCTGTAGCTGTAGTAAAATTAATATGGTTGTTTTAAGTAATGTTATTTCGTGTTAATAAATGGAACAATAAAAGTAGCTAACGATAATGGTAAAGAAAAAAAGAGAGATCGCGTATGTAAGTGTGCACACGTGAAAACATATCGTCATTACATTACATCAGAATATGAAAGCAACACTTATTTACTGTTCATATATATTTTAATTAATGTTTCTGAATTTGTTTTTATTGAATTAATGTTTGTGTGTGCAAAATTAACAATGCAATTTATTAATAATACGTGGAATATTTGAGGAGACGAGACGGCTGCCGGCATTGTTTATGTTAAAGCTTACAAAACCAGTGACTGATTGGTTCTACATATAAAACTGAAGAAAATAAGACCCTGATTTTAGCAGTAGTAAAATTAATGTAAAAAAAATTAATATGGTTGTTTGAAGTACCTGTAATGTTGTTTAATGTTAATAAATGGAACAATATAAGTAGCTAACCTTTAAGGTTAAAAAACAGTGAGGCTGCGCGTATGTAAGTGCGCACATGTGAAAACATATCGTCATTACTCTACATAAGAATATGAAAGCAACACTTATTTACTGCTCATATATAATGAAGGGTTAAATGTTGTACTCTGTATAGACAAGCAGAGAGAGAGAGAGAGAGCAGCCGAACTGCCGTATGTAAACAAATCTTAATTTCCCGCGGCTTTTTTTTTTTAAGGGGATTAGCCCACCCGGGCATAGGTTCACTGACCCACATTGGGGCCTGAGGGGCAAAATGTAATACTCCTGTAATAATAATAATAATTCAGATAAAAAAAAAAAACTGCCTATCTACCTATTGGACAAACTAAAGTATTCCGGACCACGGGAGTTTCCGGACCACAGAATGCCGGACTAGAGAGGTACAACCTGTAATGGATAATTAGCCAATCAGAATGCACTCATGGTAAATGGCATTAGTAGCGTTTTTTTTTTTTTTTTGGTTGGTTAGGTCAGGTTTTATTAGGTTTTAGTAAATGTCGCCTCTTTTATAATGGTAGGAACATCTGTGGAAAAAATTAACAAAATTGAACAACTTCTTCTGGTGGTAGTGGTGTTCTCAGACATTACCATATTTTTTACTTTTTGCGGTTATGTAAGGTTTTCAAATGCTTGCTTAGTGTTTTTTCTTTTTTTTAGTATTTTACCCCACATTTTCCCTCTACTTCCCACTTTGAACAACCAATATTGTTGGTAATTGGGGAGGTCTTATCTGTTATTAAAATACTGTACTCGAAAAGTATAAATTTGCGCCAGAAATGTAATAGAATATATTTTTTTTTGCTTTCTCCTAATATAAATATGAAATTCCATTTTCGACCTAAAACGAATCTCACCTCTAAAAATCTATTTTTGTTAGTAGT